GTTGTCCATTTTATCCTTCATCGAAATGGGTGACCTTGAAGCTTGGGATTCCTATCTCAATAGGAATGATTGCTTTGGTACCAAAGGCCAGGTGGTATGGTGTTTCACCTATTGCATTGAGTTACCATTTTAGTATATGCTTTATATATTTTATCTAAAATTGAAGCAGTAGGAAAGATAATAACAGAGCATGAAAATAGGTAGGGTTAGGAAATGGTACGTGTGGCAGTTCAACTTGTAGTTCTGTATGCCCATAGCACGTTGCTGAGCTCGTTTGCCCACTTGGCCTTATGCTGCTCCGACCTCAGTTTTATTCCTTCCAGAATAGCTTTGTTGACTGACTCCACCATGCCATTGGACTCTGGGTGGTATATTGAGGTAAATTGTAGTTTAATTCCATAGCTAGAGCAGAAATCTTTGAATGAAGCATAGTTGAATTGTGTTCCGTTGTCAAATATGATTTGGTTTGAGATCCTATATCTACAGATGATTGAACTGAAAACAAAGTCCTTGATTTTCTTAGAGGTGAGGCTAGATAATGGCTGAGCTTTAACCCATTTTGTGAAATAGTTGACTACAACTATCAAATGGGTTATTCCTCCAACCCTTTTCACAAATGGACCCAGTGTGCAAAGAATTGGCACTTTGGGCACCTCTGCACAAAATCCATGGCATCCTTTTGCATATTAGGCTAGTAGTATCCTTGCCTAAGAACTTTGTGAGCCAGTGTCTTGGCACCGACGTGACTACCACAAACATCATGCACCTTCCAAAGTGCATATTCAACTTCGTAAGGGGTCAGGCAATGGAGCAAAGGGAGTGAGAATGATCTCTTGTAAGGGACTCCAACAACGAGGGTGTACCGAGCTACCTTTTGCCTCAATCTCATCTTTTCTTGCTTATCCTCAAAAACTGAACCATCTTGTAAGAAAGACTTAATCAGATCTATCTAACTCAGTGTAATTAGGTCTACGTTGATCTCCATCAACCTCAGTTGTTGGAAACTGGGTTCACTTATAACCTCAACAAAGACTGAACTCGTAGCTATAGAACTATCAGAGGCAAATTTGGAAAACGAATTTGCTTGTTCATTCTTAAATTTATGTATCTTGCTTAGACAAAATTTTTCAAATTTACCTTTGAGCTTGAACACCAACGTCACAAACTTCATCAAAGTGGAATCCACTACCTCACTAATGGAGTTGACTTGATTAACTATGAGTTGGGAATCATTGTAGATTTGAATTACCTTGACTTTTAACTCTAATGCTAATTAGATGCCGAGCAATAGAGTTTCATATTCGGCCATATTGTTTGTTGCATCAAAGTTGAACTTTAAGGCATGCTCACTTTGGTACCCATCCGGGAATCGCTCCAGCTCCTGGCCCCTTATTATTGGATGCCTCATCAACATACAAAGCCCATTTATCTGGTTCAGTTTCTAGACTTGTCTGATTGGAGATGCACTCAACGACAAAATCTATCAATGCTTGAGCTCGAATTACAAATCTCTATTAAAATGTTATTTCCAACTTTCCCAACTCGATTGCCCATTTAATTAATTTACTTGAACATTTTGGTTTCTGCAATATCTGCCAAAGAGGCTAATCTGTAAGGACAACTATGGGTTCGACTGAAAATACGGCCTCAGTTTCTTGGCTGAAGTAATGATTGCCAAAGCTGTTTTCTCAACAATAAAGTATCTCTGCTCCACCCCACGTAACACTCTACTTGTATAATA